GAGGGCCTGCTAGGCCCTGGGGCGGGCACAGAGCTGGAGTGCCCACACCAGCGCCCACAGGACGGCCTCCACGCCCTCCCTGGAGCCCTTCAGGTGGGCTTAAGGCAACTTTGGTCCAAGGCTGGCCCCCTCCAGCAGCCTGAAGGCCTAGCTTCTACTAAGGATGCCCTCCCCAGGCGTGGAGGCAGAGCCAGCTGCGAGGACTGGGGCTGTGCTGTGTCCAGATGGGCTCCAGGGGGCAGCGGAGGGTCGCTTTCCAGTTACCGACTGAGGGCTGTGCTGCCACCGAGGAGACCCCCCAGAATCCTACCATAAGGGGCGGGGCTTGGCAGAAGAAGGCACAGCGCCACACCCAAGGCTCGCCCTGCACGTCCGGAGCCACACCGTTCCTGTGGCGGGACGAGGGGTGGAGCCATTGGGGAGGGGCTGGGTATCCCCACACCCCTCTTGGTGTCTCCCTATCCTGAGGATAAGTGCTTTGAGATCCATGGCACCAGGGCCCCGCAGCTCACAGACTTCAAGAACTCGGCTCCCCACAGAAAAGCCTCCCGTGCAGAGCTGAGACTGGGGCCAGGATGGGGCAAGGCCTGGTTCCCAGAGAGGCGGCAGCTACCACAGGCGAGGACGGCAGTTCCCTTTCCTGTTTCTGGACCCACGGCAGACATGCCTAAGTGATGCCCACACCAGGCCCCACTAGGAAATGCTGACATGGGCACTTGAGATATACAACCTCTTCCCTGGCCCAAGCCCGCCATTCCGCTCCAGGGAGGGATGGGCCGAGGTGGGGCCTGCTACTAGGCCTGGGGCCCTCTAGCCTGACTGGCCAAACCCAGCGAGGGAGCCTTTGATTTGGAAAGACAAACCACCCGCAGGCAAGAGTGGAGTCTCGGTGGCAGGAGTGGGACGAGGCCCTGGGAGGGACTGGAGACAGGCCTGGTCCGCAAGGGTTCCCCACCGCTCTGGCCCAGTCTGGGCTGCCTAGCTCTATCCTGCTCCTCGCTGCCCAGGTGTAAGTGCATTTAGTAATGACTTCATTAATAACAGCAAAAGCTACTTGCATCTGCCCGCCAGCCAAGGCCAGCCTGCTGTCTGCAAGGATTCCTGCTCCTCTGCTCAGAGACTGATGTGGTCACCAACACCACTGTGAGCTCGCCACTCCCAGCAGCACAGGCCGTGGGGCTGCAACGCTGTCTGGGTCTCAGGGAGCACTTCCCCTCCTGGAACATTCCCAGCTCCAGGGTCCAAGGCTCGCCTGGCCCACAGGCCCCCATTGGTGCAAGGCCAGTGAAGGGCCGAGGGTGGTTTCGCCAGGCACAAAGTGAACGCAAGGCACAAAGTCATTTTCTCCGACCCATCTGGCGCTGGCCTGGGCTACCCTAGGAGTTCTTGGGAGAAGAAGCCTCCTGGGCTGCACTTAAAGCTTAGAAGTCCAAGTCCAGCGTCATAGTCACACCCCAGTAAGTCCACTGCCAAGCCACCTCCAGGCAGCAGCCTCCGGGGGAGAGCCATCTTCCCTCCGTTAGCTCGTGGGGGGTCCAGCCAAGTCTCTCAGGGCTGCATCCAAGCCCCTGTCTGATCTCAGGAGCAGACAGGGCTTCTCTCCCAGAGGGGTAGCAGCAGTCTCCAGAGGGGAGGCAGGGACAGTAGGCTGGGACAAGCCAGGGTCACAGGCTCCCCGGCTCCAGGGCACCTGGAGGCAGCCCTCCAGCCACTGGACCCAGATAGATGGGAACTGACTCTGTATCGGCCACAAGGAGGCAGCAGGCAGGAGGCCCAGGAGGTCTCTGTCTCCGGCTCCCTTGGAGCTGTGCGCGGGGCCACCAGCTGGAATAGCAGCTCCAGTGTGAGGACTTCCAGTTACACCAGTCTCGGGGAGGGCCAGTGGACACCTGTGCTGGCCGGCAGCAGGCTCCAGTGTGTCACCATTGTATCCAGTGTGGGGGGCGCCCAGGCACCCCAGGCCCTGGTGTGGCGCTGCCTCAGGAGGGCAGCTCAGTCACACAGGCGGTAGAAATGGAAGTAGTAATCTGTGGCTGGCCGGACGAGGGCCTCCGGGCTGCAGCTGGCCTGACCCTGGATGGAAGGACAGTGGGAACGGCTGAGGCGGCCCTGGGGTACAGGGGCGCACACAGGCCCTGCTGACACTGTGCCCTGAGTGCCACCACATGCCCTGCAAACTCCCCACTCCTCCCAAGCCCTACACTGCAGACATAGGTGCCTGGACCTTTGGGGTAGCGGGGGACCCCTGCTCACCAACAGTGCCACCCGGAAGTGGTAGGTGAACTCGCGGAAGGACAGGATGGTTAGTGGCCACTGGTGCGACATGCCCTGGAGAGAAAGGAGAGAGGGTCAGGACAGCTCCCTAACCCTATTCCAGCCAGCATCCTCACCATGGCCCATGCAGCCCCGGGGTCTGTAGCGGCTTTTTTTGTTTTTGAGTTGGAGTCTCACTCTATCGCCCCGGATGGAGTGCAGTGGTACAATCATGGCTCACTGCAGCCTTGACCTCCTGGGTTCAGGCGATCCCTCCCGAGTAGCTGGGACTACAGGAGTGTACCACCACACCTGGCTAGTTTGTTTTTTTGATAGAGATGAGGTCTTACTATGTTGCCTAGGCTAGTCTCAAACTCCTGGCCTCAAGAGATCCTCCTGCCTTGGCCTCCCAAGGTGCTGGGATTGCAGCATGAGCCCCTGCACCCAGCCTCCACAGCAGGTTTTATGAAGAGATGGGATAGAGCACATTCTGCCTTGGGGAACAGTGGCAGTGACTCTGCAGCCCGTGCCAGTTACCGACAAGTCCGTTGCCACCTTCACCTGGCCCCCACCTCCCTTTCCAGCACTGTCTTCCACTGTGGCCCCCTCCCCTACTATGCTCCAGGCACATCCCAGTATTTCATGAACCCCATCCTCCCTACAATTCAGTGAAGCGGTGCTGCTACTAGCCTCATCTTGCAGATGAGGAAACCGAGTCACCTGCCTAGAAATCCCAGGGTGGCCCCACAGGTGGCTGGCCCATGTCCTCCCTGAGGGGCTGGCCTTGCATCCGTGATGTGGACTTCGGCCGGGGCACTGCATCCCACGAGTGTCTAGGCTCTCTACTTTCAGACGCTCTGCAGGGCCACGGGGCCTAGCCACCCGTGGGGTGCCCCCCTCCCTCCTCCACTCTCACTACTCTACTGGTCTTTTCTCCCCCACTAGAGGCTGTTCTTGGAAATCAGAGCCTGTGTCTACTCCACCTCTGTCTCCCCTGCAGCCAGAAGGGGCCCCAATAAATACGTGTTGACTAAACACATGAACGGGTGAGAAAATTATCACCACTTCCCTGAACTTGTCCTGAGAGCCCTCTCCTGTGGCTTCTCAGGCCCACGGAGAAACAGGTCTGTGAACCCCAGGAGGAGTCAGAACTCCAGCTACAGGAAACAGGTCCATCAGCCCCCAAGGGGAGCCTGAACTTTGGTTATGTGGCCAGGGAGGAGCCGCACAGTGACGGGCCCAGCCATCCAGCTCCCCAGGCTGAGAGGCCAGCCCTCCATGAGGAGCCCGAGGGATCTTCTAATACTGATCTAACCATTCTGCTTCCCAGCCCAAGGATGAGGTCTGGGCTCCTTCCTGTCTTGCAGACTCCGCCAACTGCCATCTCCCCATGACTTGCAGCCCTGCCACGGGCTCTAGGACACCCCTGGCCCTACGGCTGCACTCATCTGGGCTCGTCTCTGTGGAAGTGTTTTCTTCCAAGGTGCTCCCGCGTGGCGAGTCACAGCAGTGAGCAGGGTGAGGATGCTTGTCCCCTCTCTGGGGTGCAGAAGGCACCTTGCAGAGATGCCCCCATCTGACTCAAGCCCCTGTCCTCGCCAGTTTGGGGAAACCAGCTGAGCCACAGGAGAAGGAGGCTGGGCCTGGCCAGCCCCACCTACCTGGGTGTCCTGGTGGGTGTGGAGACCCTGTGGCCGGCCACCCTCCTCACATGGCTCCTCCTTGGACGTCAGGCTGCACAGCACCACGGACACGGGGGAGGAGGAGCTGGGGACAGGCCGTTAGCAGAGAAATGGGGTGCCGGAGTCCCTTACCCCAGCCCCCTACCCCACACAGCCACTGAATCCTCGCATGGCCTGAAAACGGTGCATGAGAATAGCCAAGGGCCTTGTGCGGTACAGAATATCCCCCATCCCACTGGGTAGGAAATGTCCCAACCTTTGGCCGTCCCCAATCTGGCCACTCCAAGACTCTGCGAGGCTTCTTCCTGGTTCCTGCCACCCCTCCCGCCCATCCTCCCACCAGGGCACTCACTTCATCTGCAGCGTCAGGCTGAGGTGCAGGGGAGTACTGCCACTCACAGGGATATGGTAGGTGAAGTTTCCAGGCCTGAAGGGGCGAAGCTGGGCCTTAGCCCTAGTCCACCCTGGTGAAGCCTCCCCCAGGGACTTCTCAGTCCTGCAGTCCCCTTCCCTGGGGGGCAGTCGCCTTCCCTGGAGCCCCTCTGAGGCCTAGACAGAGGCTGTCCTGCCTCGTGGGGGAGGTTGCTCCCCAAAGTGGGCAGGATCTGGGCATCCATACTGCCTGGACTCATGTTACCCAAGGGAACCCCTCTGGAGTGAAGGGGGGAGCTCAGACCACCTGCAGGCATCCCCTGGAGCACAGTACTGTGAGGTGATGGTCATTGAATTCTCCAGTACTTGGATGGAGGTCAGGGAGGGCACTGGATCTGCAAGGAGAGAGGATGTTGGGGCAGGGAGCAGGGCAGCAAGGCAGAACACAAACGAGAAGTAGCCAAATCTTTCCTTGCCAGACTTGGATCAGTCACTCACACCTTAGTATGAATAAGTTTCTGGGTATTCTTCCCAGATCCCCCACCATGGCCAGGATCATACCACACTCCTTCCCTGGCAGCCACTTCCCACACATCTCAGAGCCTCGCCACGCGGCCGGCTGTGTTTTCAGCTCTGGGACCTCACAGGGGGCAGGGGAATGTCTGTCTTCAACACTCCCAGCATCTTGTACACAGCCAGCTGGAGCAGCAGTCCAGTAAACTGAGCATCCACCCCTTGGGCTTCCTGCCTCTTTGAACTTCAGTCTCTGCAAGCTGCAGTTCCCAAGTTTTCTCGAAGCCACAAACCCATCAAATGAAAGCCAATGAGAGGGCTTGAATCTGAGGGCACAGCAGCCCCCAGGCACCTTGGAGGAACCTGGTTTGAGAACTTCTGCGTTAAGAGATCCTCTAGCTTTGTTAAAACTGAAGACCTGGCTGGTCGCAATGGCTCATGCCTGTAATCCCAGCACTTTGAGAGGCTGAGGCAGGAGGACTGCTTGAGCCGAGGAGTTCGAGACCACTTGAACAACAAAGTGAGACCTTGTCTCTACAAAAAATCAAAAAATTAGCCAGGTGTGGTGGTGCGTGCCTGTAGTCCCAGCTACTTGGGAGGCTGAGATGGAAGGATCACCTGAGCCCAGAAGGTTGAAGCTTCTGTGAGCCCTGATGGTGCCATTGCACAACAGCGTGGATGACAGAGCAAGACTATGTCTCAAAAACACACACATACATACACACACAAAACACCAACTGAAAAACCCCTAAAGATCTGAAGGGAAGAGTTTGGGAGACCCTGTACAGCACCCTCTTTGCAGCTAGGCTGTACGACCCTGGGCAAGTCACTTCCCCAGTGTCCATCTCATCTGAACCTTGGAGACAATTCCTTTCCTGCAGGAGTACTGTAATGAGATGATCTTTACAAGGCTCCTGGCCTGACTCCTGATCCTCACTGTGTGCTCCGCAGATGTCTGCTGACTGATAAGTCTGCACCCAGGAGTCATGTGACTAGGCTGAAATGGGCCCTGGCCAGTGAGCCTTGCAGGGCGGGGCTGGGAGGCCGGTAATGCAAGTACCTGGCCGGCCCTGGGCCTGAGTGGGCTGGGCAGGGCCCATGCGGGACTGAGGGGCCCCTCGGCGGGCCCGGCCATGGAGACCGAGGCTGGGGCTGTTCTTGGCTTTGCCCGGTACCCCAGGGAAGGGGACTGCAGGGCTGGCCAGTGGCTCCAGGCTCTTGGGATGTTTGGAGTGGCTGATGCCGTTGACGGAAAGGCCCCAGGACTTGGCTCTGATGTTGGTGATGGGCAGCAAGGCCATCTGGCTGGAGCCTGTGGATAGGACCAGGGATAAGCTGAGAAGAGGAAAGACGGCTGCCTCCCGTCCACTGTCCTGGACCACTAGGTCCTGCCAGACCCTGTGTGAGCCCCATCTGCCTCCTGGTTTCCTCGGGAGACCCTCAGTCTATCTCCAGAGACCCATTCTGGGCTCCAGGAGACCCTCCCACCCATGGATCTCAGGGGCCTTTCTCTGTCTCTCTACCCCAAGTCCTGGCCCCAAGAAAGCCATACCTGAGCGGTTGGTGGTGGGGCTGGGGCTGGGGCCAAGACCGTGGCCAGGGTCAAAGCTGGGGCCATGGCGAGGGTCGGTGGTGGGGCTGGGGGTGGGCAAGGAGCAGCAGACGACGGGGCAGGGGTAGCTGGAACACAGGTCCAAGGTGCGGACGGTGGGACCTGGGGCCGAGTGGGGCAGGCTGGTGGTAACTGCGGAGGCCAGAGGCTGCGTGAGCTGGAGGAGCCCCCCGCAGAACGCAGCCCCCCGCCTCAGGCCAGACCCACCCAGCACGCACCCGGCAGCAACGAGGGCTGTATGCCCGGCAGCCCAGTGGTCCCGGGGGACTGTCGGAGCTGAGTGGTCCCAAAGTTCTGGCTGGACCTGCTGGGGGAGGGTGGGGTGAGCTCAGAGGGGCTGGGGAGTCTGACGGGGAGGCGGGCAAGAGGAGGTGGAGAGGGAGGGGAAGGAGGCAGGAAGAAGGGCCGCAGGAGCCAGAGGGCGGAGGGCGCCGTTAGCACATACCATGGGCACAGGGCCTCACTCCCGCCCGGGTGCTGGGGCCGGAGCAGGGCCAGGAGACAGGAGGTAGACACGGCAAAAGAACTAAGGGCAGCAGAGAGGCAGAGGGCGAGAAAGGCACAGGGAGGAGAGGAAAGACACAGTCAGAGGGGGCCCCAGGAGGTGGGTGGCAGTGGGCTGGCAGAGCCCAAGGCCCTGCCCTGGCCCTCCTTCCCCTTACCCTGTTCCCACCCCGACTCTCAGATGGCCCCACTACCTGGAAGAGCACCACGCGGGCAGAAACATCAGCATCGGCAGGGAATGGGGACGGCCGCCCACCCTCCAGGGAGACCCTCCCGGCCGAACCCTTTAGAGGAGACAGCCTCATGGCTCCTCCGATCTTGGGCTGCCCGCCAAAGCCCCCCCTGGCCTGGCGGCTTGGCCAGTGGCCAGGTCTCCAGGGACGTACCCATCGGTGTCCACCAGGTCCTCCTCGGTGCGCAGGCTCAGCACGTACAGTGTGGACATGGACACCACACTGGAAGTCACAGAAGAGGGTCACCATGAGGGCAGGAGCCACCACCCAGCACCCTCTCTTTAGGGCAGGGCCTGTGGTCCTAGGCCCAGGGGCTAGGCTCCCAGGTGGCGAAGGGGGCTCCCAGCCCCAGGGGAAGGAGTCGGAATGAGGCTCCTCCTCCCCGAGACCTCAGCCACTGGATCTCCCAAACCACGTCCTCCTCCTCCCCCAGGCCTGGGCCCGTGGGCAGCTGACCCCCCTGGGCAGCTCGGTGCCTCCAGGCAGCCACCCCAGAGCCTCGGGGACAAATCACCTGAAGGCCATGACCACCACCAGGGCGATGATGGTCCCCTGCAGAAAGCGCTGGCTTATGCAGGCCTGGTCCGGGACCACAGACGACGACTGAGGACCAAGAGGAGAAGCAGAAGCAGCAGAAGAGGGACAGACTCAGGAGCCCTGGCCTTGCCGCTGTGGCTCTCCCAGAGCTGGGGACAATTAAGGGCCACCCATTCCCCCAGGAGAAGAAACCGGGGCTCGAAGGACCACGGGGTCATAAGGAGAAGGAGGACGCCGGAGTTGGGGAGGCTGGAGAGGTGTGAGCTGGAAGGGGAGGCCGTGAGGAATGAGGCCCCCGCCCAACTGTCCCCTCACCTTGCTGGCCACCTTGGGGAGCCTCTTCTTGTGGGGGACGCTGCCCGCCCGGCTGAACTGGCTCCCTGCGTGGCTGCAGCAAGAGGGCCAGGGTCAGGGTTGCCTCTGGCAAGGGGGCTGCCCCCCAGGCCCACGCCCCCACCTGAAGGCGCCTGAGCTGCCCGTGGACTTGAGGCTGTCCAGGCGCCGCAGCTTGGCCAGCTTGTGGCTCCAGCGCTCCAGCTCGTCGATGCGCGTCTCCAGGTTGTCCGTCAGCTTGCACAGCTCCTTCACGGCGCCCACGTTCTCCATGAAGATGCGCTCCTGCCGCGGCCACGGCCATGAGGGGCGGGAGGGGGCCCCCGCGCTCCGTAGCCTCCCTGCCCAGGCTGGCCCCCAAAATGCGACCCTGCCTCTGCCCGGCTGTCCCCCTGCTGGAATGGTCCTCCCCACACCCTGTCAGATCGCCGGGTCCTTCGGAGGCTCCCCCAAGCCTTAAGTCTGCAGCCCTCGGCTCTGCCCCTCGGACCACCGGGGTAGCTCAGACTAGGACGCTTGACTCTCGGCTGAGGGGGTGACATTCTAGATCTGGGTTCCAAAGGGCCCTGGAGCAGGGGACTCCACGAGTAAGTGTTCCCAGAGTTTCAGTGAGCTCCTTGGCTCCCAGACTCAAGCCAGGTAAGTTGCAAATGACATCCTCGCAATAAACCACATGGTTAAGCCCCGACAGGACCAGAGGAAAATGTCTTAGTTGGATTGCCCTGTTCTTATTGGAGGGGAAGGCATGACCCTCAGAGGTTCCCCCTGCCGGTGGTCAAATCCCCACCCGCCCCCTGGAGTACTCGCCCCTCCCATGAGAGAAGGGGGCCGTTCCAGCCTCTGCTCTGCTGTGCCCTGTCTCTACCAAGGAGGCAGTGCCCCCGACTGGCCGCCCCAGCCCCTGGGCTCCCCCCCTCCCCCGCCCGCAGACCTTGTTCACCACCAGGAAGTTCTCTATGGTTTTTCCGTTGGCAAAGACCATGTCTCCGGTGTCCTTCACAGCCTCAGGCAGGATCTCCTTCACCTCCTGGGCGATGACACCTGGGACAAGCCGAGGTTATATGTGTTTTGGGGGGGAGGGTGCTGCCCACAACCTTCTCGTGTGACTGGAGAGGGCTCTGGGGCCCAGAGATTCGGCTTCCAAGAAGCCCTGGAGCCGGGGGCTCCCGCCGACAAGTGCTCACAGCGTGGCCATTCCAGGGCCCGGGACATAGGGTTGGCGGGCTGCCGAGAGTAAGGGGCCCAGGGGAAGGGGGCCCAGGGGCCAGGTCCCGCGATTCTCGGGTTTCCAAAGTCGTGGCATGAGGCTCCGGGGACCAGGGGAGGCGCGATTTTCCAGGGGCTGAGGGGCGGGATTCCCGAGGGCGGGTCCAGGAGGGGTTTCTGGGAGTAGGATTTCGAGGAGACGGGGGCAAGGCCACTGAGGCCCGAGGTTATCGGCGTCCTGGACCCCAGGCCGGCCCCTACCCGTCTCTGGCGCGGCGGCCTCGATACCCGCGCTGGCCGCGAACTCGGGCTTGTATCTGTAGTGCACCAGCCGCATGCGCGAAATCCTCTTGAGCTGTTCCGTGGTGTCCACCTGCGGGGGGCCATCACCAAGACTGAGGCCTCCCTTCCTGCGGCCGCCCAGAGCAGGCTCCGAAGCCCAGGAGGGCGAGAGCACAGAGGCGGCAGTGTTGGGGGAGACCCCACTCCCGGAGGGGGTCGTGAGATC